CAAGTGCCCTGCGTCCTGCTCAGTCTCCGACAGCCTGTATGAGCAGACGCCACATCAAAAGCGGGTCTTAAACCGAAACAGAAGGTACGTGAAGCCACAAGGCCGTCTGAGGCGGCCGACTCAGCCGCCCCCTCACGGCTGGACACAGACCTTCTCCCACATGATGCCAACTTGAAAAAGACCCGATGATGACATCCCACAGGGTCGCCCGGCACCCTCACGGCTGGGCACAGACACTCGCCCTCGCCACACGCACGCACTGTCCCCTCTGCAGCCTGGGGCGGGGCTCCTGCAGGGCACCAGGCAGCCCAGGCCTGGGGGTTCGGGCCCACACGCTGGGTCATGACGCCCCCTCAAAAGGCACATCGTTAACGGGATCTGCGCATTTTTCTGTCTTTGAAAACAACACTGCTGACACCAAAGACCTTCTACCCCAACACCTTATATGTGCAAATTCCCTAACTTTGGGGGGGGGGGGGGCAGGAGCCCCAGCGAGGCTCGGACAAGACGCAGCAGCGACCGGTGGTTACAGGTCAGGCATCTTAAAGATGTAAAGTCGATCGTAGTGAATTCATCTTCTACCCCTGAAGTAAAGGAACTGTTTAATTCTTAAATCCTGTCATTTAAAACCCACGTTACTTTTCCTTAAATTTGGGCAGAAAGATCATATAACAACCGTGTCGACCTAAGACACACATCTTTCTCCGTCTCTCCCTCTCTCCCCATATATGTGTATACATATGTGAAAGATACACATCGTTCTCCAAAATTCACCCGCCTGACCGCTACCCAGCAATTTCCGGAGAAAGGCGCGAGGAGTCACCCTCCTCCGCTCGACGACGTGTGCCCGGGGCCTTTGCACTTACGTGGAACTCGGTTGTGTTGAGGATGTGGCGGCCGTCGGGGCTCCAGCAGGAGGCCACCAGCCCGGCCGAGCCCTCGTCGATCCTGCAGTGCCACTCCGGCTGCTCCAGGGACCACACCTGGATTCGCAACGGACAGAAACGCAGACCCAACAACACATGAGCGCACGCGCGTCAAGCTGGAAAACAGCCGGTTCAACGGCACACGGTCAGGACACAGGGCGCGTTTCCACATCCGCCACGAGGCAGGGCTGGAGCCGGACTGCGGCACAAAAGCCACGCTCCCGGGGGACTTCACAGTGGTGGTTTTAAAGCCCTTCGCCAGCCCTCCAAGCTCCTTCGGGGAAACTTCAGATCTGCTAGAAACGCATCTTCGCGCTTCCCCAAACCCGTGAGGCCCAAGCTTCTAGACAGCTGTCTGCGGACACTTCCTCTTACTGAATTCTACCTGATGACACATTAAGGCTAGTTAAGTGTTCTCCTGTTTTCAAAGTACTTAAGCTATTAGGGAACCGTTATAATTTTAAGACGAAACCGGCTTGAGCCACCTCGCCTTTTTTTCTCAAACTACAAGGGCACAGAAGAGGTTGCTCCTTCCCGGTTACCCTCAGGCAAGAGCCCCTGGCTCGGAGCCCCGCGGGCGGCGCACCTGAACCTGTCCCCGCTTGTACATGGCGCACAGGATGAAGAGGGAGTCCGCCGACCACTCGATGTGCTGGATCTGGTCCAGGCACGTGTACAGGTGAAGGATCTGGAGGGTGTGCACATCCCGGACCACTAAGCGGTACTGGACGCAAGAAGCCTAAAAACGGGGAAAAAAAAAAGCCCTTGATGGTCTAACAGTCTAAGGGAAGGGAGCTCAGGAGCCGGTGCTCCCCTCCGTCCAGGAATTCTAGCTCCTTCTGTCCTTCCGGATGTATTTCCTGCCTGGACGGCCTCATGTTCACAGACTGTCACCCCCTCTAAGGATAAGGGTTCACGAAAAGACAAGGTTGAAATACACAAACTAGGTGTTGACGTTGCTCCAGGATAAGACATTCTGTTAAAACTCTCTACTAGGTCATTTTTTACTTTCTGACTCGCGTCTTAAAAACTAAAGCAGGACACAGCGTGGGACCAGCTCTTCTGTGAACTAAGCCAGCACTCTGCTGCTTTAACCACCGGCAGACAAGGCACAGGGAGTGCGGACGGGGGCCTCAGGGTCCTTGGTGAGAAGGACCACGGAGACATAAGGACGAGGCAACAGAAAATACGTATTTGTCCCTGCCCCCAGGCCCTGGCACAGGACTCCTCGAGTCCTTGAAACGTCCTGGGTGGCAGGAGCATCTTTTGTTCTAACGAGGCAACTCTAAGTGGGCTCCTGGCCACCAGAAATACCAGCCATGATTAGAAGCTTGGAATGTTCAGTCCCACTCCCCCTTCTCCAGAGAGTGGAGAGGGGCTGGAAGCGGAGTTAATAATTCATCACGAGGAATCCTCTGTAAAATGCCAACAGGACAGTGTTCAGAGAGCTCCAGGCCGGTGAACACAGGCACACAGGGCAGGTGACGCACCCACCCCCACGGGGACAGCGGCTCCTGCACTCGGGACCCTCCTGGACCTTGTCTTCTGGATCTCTTCACCTGGCTGTTCACCTGGATCCTCTCTGGTCTCCTTTAGCACAAGTGTCTGAGTTCTGTGAGCCACGCTGGCAAATCAGCCGAACCCGAGGAGGGGGCTGTGGGAGCCTCTGACTGGTGGCCCAGGCAGACGGAAGTTGTGGGGAGCTCGAGGACCCGCAGCTCTGGCTGGAATCTGAAGTGGGGGGCACAGGGGCGCGTGGGGGGCACAGCTGGTGAAGCGCCCGCCTTCGGCTCCCGTCACGATCTCATGCTTCAGGAGTTCCAGCCCCACATCGGGCTCACTGCCGTCAGCACGGAGCCCGCTGCAGATCCTGCCCCCCTCTCTGCCGCGCCCCTGCTCATGCTCTTTCTCTATCTCTCAAAAATGAAAAAAAAATAAAATAAAACAAACAAGAAAATAAACATTAAAAAAAAATGCAGTGGGTGGGCGGTCCACCTCGGGTCTCCAGGGGGACGGTGCCAGAATCGAGCTGTGTGGCACCCGCTGGTGTCCTGGGGGCTTGTGTGCTGTGACACACCCCCAGCTCCTGGCAAACATGACGGGAAGTGTCAGCAGTGCGGCGAGTGTAACAGCAGCCGCGGGACAGCAGAGGCGAGGAGCAGCAGCAGGCTGACGCTTTCCCGACACAGGAGGGGACGCAGGGAGGTTTCTCTTCCACTGCGGGGACTTATTCTGAGTACTGACCATGAAGATGTTTAAGCGTTAATCCTGTTTTCTTGAAGAGGCAGTCTGTGTCCACCTTTGTTAATAATATCCATATCTAAGCAAATTATTTGGGTCTACTCATCTGATTTTAGATTATATTATAGTTTAAAAATCAAGAACTGGTTTAAAAAAATTTTTTTTTAATGTTTAGTTTTGAGAGAGGGAGAGAGGGAAAGCGAGCGAGCAGTGGAAGGGCAGAGAGAGAGAGGAAGATAGAGAATCCGAAGCAGCTCCAGGCTCTGAGCTGTCAGCACAGAGCCCAAAACTGGGCTCGAACTCATACACCCCGAGATCATGACCTGAGCCAAAGTCAGATGCTTAACTGACTGGGCCGCCCAGGCACCCCAAGAACTGATTTTTAAATGTTAATTGCTTCGTTTTTGTCAAGATCAAACTCAATTATTGGCTTGTGTTTTACAAACCTTTTCCTTTCCTTTTCCAAACCTTCCTTTTCCTTTTGAAAAAAACCTCGGGGCGCCTGGGGAGCTCCTTGTGATCTCATGGTTTGTGAGGGAGTGTGAGTTCTGTGAGTTTGAGCCGTGGGCTCCATGACGCTGACGAGGAGCCTGCTTGGGATTCTCTCTCTCCCTCTCCCTCCCCCCCCCTCCTCTCTCTGCCCCTCCCCCACTCGTACGCTCTCACTCTCAAAAAT